GCTGCTGAGCTGAGCACAGGGCTGGAGGGCTGAACTCCAGCCTTGCAGCCAGAGCTGCCCTTTGCTCACTCCACGGCTCTGGGGAGATCACTTGTTAGGTAGGATCCAGTTTCAAAATTGGCTTCTGACAGTTACTTTTAGGCATTGTTCAGGTTGTGGGTGCTGAGGTAGTGGATGCTTAGCTACAGGATGTTTTTCCAGGCATCTCCGAGCATTGTGGGGGTTTCTGGCTGCTCAGAGCTTGTAAGAATCAGGGTCAAACCTTATTGCTCCTAAATATATGCGCTTTTTTCCCCCGCTCCTGGTACCTCCTTAATTTGCCTTTATAGATAGCTGAGTATAAGAGACAATGCACCGAAGTGTCTTCATTCTAGCCATTTCCAGTAGGAGAGGGGTTAAAAAACATAATCTCCACCCAGTCAGGGTAGCTCAGCTGCCTGGACCCCCAGTGCGGATGCAATAACACATGCTCTATGTTATACAAGCACGATGACTTTCTGGCCAGCTGTAGCTGTTCCCCTGGGGCAGTGTGGGCAGGGCCCTGACCACAGCAAGGGCTGCTGATGGGGTAAGGAGTTGGGCCCAGGAGTGCCAGTGTTACCCAGTGCCCCAAGCAGCTCGTCTCCTTTGTGTGTACCCCCGACTCTGAGCAGGCATGCGACAGCAAAGACAAAAGTGAGTCCCACAGAAGCACTCATGTCCTTGGGGGAGAGAAATTTGGCAGGAAATATTGAATGGGTTGCGGGGAGGAAGGCATTGAAATAATTTATTTCCCTGGGAACTGCTTTGCTCCACTCAACATGAAGTCAAGATACTGGGCTCAGATCTAGACCACACAGGCTTGTAAGTCTCTACTGGATAAACCCTAGAAATGGAGGTTGAATTGTTCTCGCACCCAAGATGACAGTCCCTGGAGGAGCTGGCTGAGGACAGTGCAAGGAGGGCAGAAGTTCAATGCTTTCCGTGCTCCTTCTTGCAGGCTAGTCTTTGCTGGAAGTCCCTTTGGTCGGTGCAGGCAGCCTGGGCTATTGGGAGCTCGGTGCGCTGATTTCCTTTTTGACTTGAGGAAAGAGGAGCTGCTCTCCCCTTGTGGTGAAAGGCCAGGCTGCGGTTACTTCCCGTGCCATGGTTAGAGCACGGCTGCAGAACTGGTTGTTCTGTGTTAGCACGAAGCGTTTGTCGTCCAAACCTAAACAATAGCTGTAACTGTACCCGCCACATGAGTGCGGGTCAGGGCCAAGGATTCTCAACGCCCCCATGATGAGTTCATCCGGAGAGTCCCCGCATTGCAAAGGCAATGTTCTGCTGGGACTTGTTCCTTGCTGGGAAATTTTGCAGGAACCCAGAATTAAAGGTGCCGTTTGTTGCCTTGGCCGGGTACCCGCCTTGGCACTGATTCACCCTGCTGCTGCTGGTGGGAAAGAGGTGAGGTGGCTGGGGAGGGAAAAGCTCTCTCTGAGTAGGGAAAACTTCAGTGGCTCTTTCCATGTGAGAAGCATGACATATTTTTGATGTGACAAGCTTCAGTTCTTGCTTCACCTGAGGTTGCATAGCTGGGGCAGGGAGAGCCAGGAGGCTAGGGAAAGCCAAGCAAGAACAGCCGAGCAGAGAGGTGAAGTAGGGCTGGGGAAAAGAAGAGACTGGCTTCTTGCTCAGGAGGGAGTTCTCTCTGCGGGTACATGTCTACCAGAAAATGGGCCAGCCTGCAGTGCAGTTCTAGCCTGGCTCTGAAATCCACAGCAAGGGTTGCTCAGAGCCAGGTAAAGGTGGGATTTCTATCTTCAGAACAATGCATGCCATAGGAACCAGCTCCTTGAACAAACAGCTTGATTAAAACCGTTTGTTGGCTCACTGGCTATTTCAGTGCTGGCATACCTGGACCATTCCTGTGTTTCCCAGTGCCATCTCCCTCGGTATCAACAAATGTGCTGGAAATCCCTAACATCTGGAGTTCAGGCAGCACCAGAGCCTTCTTCCCGTCAGAGCTGCTTCCTTTAGATGCTGTGGAGTGAGACCGAGCTGGGAGAGGGACGTGGGCCAGAAGCACTGGAGATGCCAGGAGGAGGAGGAGGAGAAGAGGAAGAAATTACTGCCTCTCTGGGGGACCCAAGCCCGGCATGTGGAGGGGTTGCAGGCATTTGAGGGTGGCAGCTCGGGGCAGTCGCTCTCACAGGCAGCAGTGTCAGCAGGGCTGTTGGAACGGCTGACTTAGATAAACATCAGGCTTTGCTGTTCAGTGTACCTGTCCAGGCAGCCAGGCACAGAGCCTCTCTGATTCAGCTGGAAGGGGCTGCGGTGGGCAGGTGGGGAGCAAAGGGCTGGCTGGGTGTGTGCCCAAGGGCAGGAGTGGGCAGACACAAGGGAGATCAGCTGTTCCTTGCTGAGAAAGGAGAATCTGGGGTGGAGGAAAGGATGGGACATGCAGTGGGATACCACCCAGTTGATCTTTGCTGTCTTCTCCCTTGCTTTTTACTCATGCAGCTCTACCTCCCCCACTGCAAGGCCAGCT